GCTCCCTCTTCCCAGCATCGCTCACAGTTACAGCCGCACTAGCCGACTTGAAACATTCGCAGTTAATTGACCTTGAACATTTCAATTTCTTACCTGTGGTGAAAAGGTAGTACTGGTATGTAAATTAAGCTATATCATTAACAAGGTGCACTGATAAAGTAATGGAAATTCACATGTCCTCGGCTTTACCAAGAAACTTCAGCAGGAGAAATCGGCCACAGGGAATCCAAAGATCCCTATTGGGGTTTAAGCTGCGTAGCTATACACATGTACATGATACAAGAGTGTGACAAGTGTGCTGGTGCTCATTTCAAGACAAATGTTGAATAGCAATATGGAAAATGTAAGCTGGATGGATGGATGGATGGGTGGATGGGTAGGTGGATGGATAGACAGGTGGCTATTTAAGTGATCTTGTCAGACTCTGGTATTCCAGCCTATGATGACAGGTAGGGACAACAGCAGCGCATATGAAAGCAGAGCTGAGGTTATACTGCACCAGTACAGGCCATGACCCACCCATCTTCCCTTCTGGCGATACTTTCAGCATATTTACTTTTCCAGTGGAGAAAATGATGGCTATTCCTTAGCAAATTGTGAACTCTGAATTACCATAAATAAAACACTATAATGAATTCTTTATTTTGTTTATTAACTAAACCTTTCAGCTGATAGTCAAGTGCTATTTGTCCTTAATGTGCTTTTAATATGCTAATATATTCAATATCACAGTAAACCAATACCTATAAAACTAAAGACCACCTTTTCCTAACCCCATCTATTCTGTGGTTATTTATGCCATAAAACAAAAGCAAGTTTGTCCCGCTAGCTCATTTTCTTCCCCATATCACAGGTTCTCTTTCTCTGTCCCACCTGCCTTTCTCTCTTGCCTTCAGCATCTTACTGAGATTTGGCACAGTTAATTGTCATCCATCTATTCAAATGGAAAATTTTCTTAACTCTTCATATTATAGCCTAGAAATTCACATTTTTAAAGCACAACTCTTCCGCTTCATAAGATGCTTAAAGATTGTAGCATTGGTCTGAGAATTAATTTTTCAAAGGATATTAGATGCCTATTGATTTCTCTTATGTCCAGCAAGCACAAGAGTACATGACAGTTGTAACTTTCTGAGTTGTGAAAAAATTACTATTGCTGTTGGCTCCAAAGAGTTGTGATCACAGAAAAGTTGGATATGAAAAAATTTAGTGGCTAAATCACCACATAATCCAGTATCTCTTTGATTTGTTGCCTACCACTTTTAAATGTCAGATTCCTGAAGAAAACTGCCTTTAGAATATGTGACGTGTTGAATTAAAAGAAAACCAACCAAAAATTATCCAGTGCCTATTCTATGCTGAACACTACCAGAAATTGTACATACCATGTTAAATTTGATTATTAAAGTTAAGAATGGTGAAATATGCTCTCACATTGCTTTAAATGAAGACTATACATATTTAAAACAGCAAAATTTGCCAATGTTATGAAAATTATTTTAATGTAGGTGAGAAATTACTTATTTTTTAAATTATTTTGATCTGTGTGATGATGTTCATTTTATTTTTTAAATTTATTTTAAA